CGCGCCGTGGTCCATCTTGATCAGCCTGGTTGCCAGCAATGTCAAGGGCAATACGAAGCGGTCCGTGGTCAACGCCCTGTTCTTCATCGGGTACTGTGCGGGCTGCATTGCAAGCCCGCAGCTGTGGACCGATTCGCCACGGTACTTTGCTGGCGTGGTGACTGCGATCGTGACTTGGTGTCTGCTCTTCCTCGCCATCATCGGCTACTGGGCTGTTTGTGCGCGCGACAATGCAGCCAGAGTCCAGCAAGAAGAGCACGACAGCGCCCAGGCGTCGTCAGCGGCAGATCAGGTGCTTCTGGACAAGAATGGATCGCCAGGAAACGATGTAACCGACAAAGAAGACCGCAAGTTCAGATACAGCTTCTAGACGTTCAGATTTGGGGGTCCAGGACGTCGAATGGCTGGATGGTGTAAGAAGGGAGGAAGTCCGCCGAGCTTGGCGGAATGCCAGATCCTCATAGCAAGGGTTTGGGATCGACTACCGGGGTACATGAGTACTTACTTGTACTAGTAGAACTCGTACTACGGTACATCCATGGATGTATCCCACCTGTTCTACTGTAGTAGTTAGATAAGCTCCGATATACCCGCTTCTGCCCCTCCAGGCTCATCTTAACCCTAACCCTCCCCGCACGCGTTCCACACGCGCCACGTTTTGCATCTGCATGGGCACTTTTAGCTTTGATTTTTGGCATGGTCGGCCTGGCTCAATTCACCACGACCAACACCACCACCGAGCCACCATCGCCCAGCCTCTTGTGCCAGTGGGGCGCTCCCTCTCGTCGACTTTCCTGACCTTGTCACTTTCCACCTAAATTCAACGCCACTCGCAGTGTTTGAGCGGTCACTGAGCTGCCTGACCTCCCTCAACAAGAGAGGGATGGATTCGTTTTGAGATTTCCGTGTGGATTTTTCACCTCCCACAAAGTCACAGCATCATCGCCATTGCCACCACCTCCACTCTCAAATCATTCGTTTCTTGCATACAGATGTGCCGCTGTCCACCACCTGACCGCAACTCGCTGCAGCAATTGTCGTGCCTGATCTCTCGATGGGAGATGGGATGAGGGCAGAGCCTCGGTTGTCTTGTCTCTTGGGTGTGTACATGTGGTGACGGTTCACGGACGAGCCAGGGAACGTCGGCAGGACCGCAAAGCACCATGACTGGCGTCGGCCGATATGGGCCTGCCAACCTCAAAAAGCTGGTCAAGGCCCAGGAGATTCTCGGCTACGAGTTCCACGACATCACCTGGCTGCGAGAGGGGCTGGACATCAGCAGGCCAATAGGCCATATCCACGCCAGAAACAAGCGCCTAGCCTTGGTAGGAGACCACAAGATCGCCGCCATCTTCATTGATCGATGGTATAGCAAGAGCGGCCTTCGCTCTGTCGACTGGAGCGAGATTTATAGCAGCAACTTCAGCAACCAGAGGTTCACCGATATCACCTTCAGACATGGCTTGTCGGACTGCACGATACCACATGCCATGATGCGGCTGCCCGGTAATAACATTACCGATAACACCGTCCGCATCATGTCAGATACGCTCGAGGCGCTCCTTGGTGCCATCTACAAAGACGCCGTCGCGAGCAACCATCCCGATCCGTACGGCGCTGTGGAGAAGGCTGCCATTCGCCTGGGCCTCGCGGATCGTCGGCTCTTGACAGCCGAAGAGTTGCGCTGGTCAGTCGAGAATCTGCGAACACAGCGCAAATTGCCGCCTCGCATGTTTACTGGACACCACTTTGCGCTTGCCTCAACTCTCCATGAGCTGGATCGGCCGGCTCCGCCTCGCTCAGCAGCCCTACAGATTCATAACCTCCTGTACAGTCGCATTCTTGCACGCCTTGAAGCAGCGCGTTCCGACCAAAACTCCTTGTCAGCCAAGACACACCAAGCTCTGTTGGCCATGACACAGCAAACTGGGCATCGCCTTCATGACCTTGGCCTGGGCCTTCGGAATCTGCGCGCTTCACCTCTGCTGCGGCCAAAATCATGGCAATGGCTTGCCAACCTCAGACTGTGGGTGCAGACCGCCGCTAGGGCGTTCGTGGACCCCTTTGTGGTGGTATATGCCTCCATTCAAACTGCCTTTACGCCCCTTATTCCTAGCCTTATGCCAAAACGCAGACCATTGAAAACCTCGCAGTACATGAAATACCGTTTGCGAAAGGGATCACATTCAAGGTTTACAAGGCGCGTACTCGAAGGCATATACTACGTATTGAAGCCATGCAGTAGAGCTTGGTCAAAGACCAAACTCAATATACGTAGATGGAGAACGAAACCGGCACTAATCATACCGGACGCTAACAACAAAATGCGGAACATGCAGTGTGCAGTTACAGACAGGCTGCAGGCAATCCGAAGCAGGACTACCAATGGCATTCTCGAAACCAGAGCCAGCATCGCCAACAGAGTCACCACAGCCCAAGAAAAATCCAGGGCTGTAGTCAAGCCAATGGTCGACCGATTTGTCACGGCAAGAAAAAAGTCCACCACCGCTGTGAGACACTTCATACAGCACCACAAAAGGAAGACCAAACAGAGTGTGACTCAACTCAAGGCGGTGGTTACACGATACAGAAGAGCTACGAATCACGAGGTGAGAGTGTTCAGATATCGGACCACAAAGAGGGTCAAGAGGCTGTTTCGACTTGGGCCGGCAATCCCACGATACAAGAAAGCAATTAGAACTGCGGTGGGACGTTTCAGAAAACGGACCACAAATAGGCTCCAGAGGCTGTTCGCAATTAAAGCGGCAATTGCACGATACAAAGCAGGGTTCTCGAAGAGGATGGGGAATGTGTTCCAGAAGCGTCCAAAGGTGGCGTCGGCACCAGCACCAGTGCAGGCTGTTACGGAAGCGCACTCGCAACAAGTGATTGTCAAGGACTTCGAGAACGGTGCTAGACCACCAGTGATGTCCGCCAAGCCGCTGGAAAAGACCAAGAAGAAGCCCGAAAGCGTTGCGAGCCCATCATTAGTGCCTGGACAGACTTTGCGACTCGAGGAGAGCAAACAGATTGTAGAAGCTATGAAACCAAGGGATGATCAGAGCATGCCAGAGACACTGCACGATACTACGGAGCAGACGAAAGTACAAGAAGAAAAGGGCGAAGTGGGACGAGAAGAAAGAGGACAAGGGGACCTGGTATCAGCGGCTGATGCGACATTGTTGCTGCCAGGGCAGCAGGCCAAGGCACAACAGGACGAGAGGTTTGCGAAGGCTCAGCAACTCCTGGAACAGGAGGCCGAGGAGTCCCGAAAGTCTGAAGCCCGGGTGCGCCTGGAAGAACGTACCAGGAAGATACAGGAACAAGTAGTCCAACAGCTGCAAAAACAAGCAGCTGAGAGTCTCCATGAATTGGAGGCCAAGAGGCTAGAGGAGGAAGAGGCCCAGAAGCTGCAGTTGCAAGTGCAGGAAGATATGAGGCAAGGAGAACAGGGAGCTTCAGCAGTCCAAGAAGAGCAGACCTCGGACGCAACCAAGGAAGAAGTGGTGTCTGTAAAGAAGAGCAAAGCAGTTGGGAAAGCGGCAGCAAAACGGGAAAAGAAGCGCTTGGCAGCGAAACGAGCGGCAGAGCGTAAAGCAGAGCGTAAAGCAGAGAAAACAGCAAAAAGATTGCGGAGGAGGCAAGGTATACTAACGGCCGAAGAGGAAGAGAGATTGCGACTAAAGGTTTTGAGATCGGCTGAAAGGTTGCGCGCTCTGAACGAGGGTGCACAGCTGCTCGCATATCAGCAAGACGAAGAAATAGAGGAATTCGAGGAAAAGCTGAGACTATTCGAAGCAGGGGCAGAGGCAGCAGCAGAAGATTCCAAGCCTGCACGCGAAGATGAGATGGAGCAGGGCGAGGAAGAAGGCAGGCAAAGCGAATCAGCCGAGGTCAGACTTGCACAAACAGAGAAGGAGGGCAACCCGCAGCGAGCGCAAAGCGCCAAGTCTGTACAGGAAGATTTCAACACAGTGGCACAGGCTAAGGAACAAGAGTTGCAGCAATTGGACGACCGAGCGCTGCGTTCGGTCGACGACACTATACTCCACATTACCTCGACAGAAGCCTCTGCTGCTCTGGACTCACAGGTCATGCGTCTTGGTTATGAGACATCACCGCCGCATACACCATCTTCTCCAGCCGAAAGGTCCGGAGACACTGAAATCTCGGCGGGTCAAACGAGCGACATTCCACCAGACGAATCGAGAACCCACAGCACGGTTCAACAACCTATCGTGTTGGGGCAGCACCTCGTGAAGTCGCTCATCCAGCAAAGAGCTGCTGCGGTCCGTGCAAAGGACTCCTCCATGGATCAGGAAACGAGCCGGACTATGGTACAGGCGGCCATGGAGCTGGAGCTGAAGTTCCTTCGACAATCAGAACAGAGCCATGACCACCGACGGGCACGGAAAGCTGGAGAGTCAATGGTAAAAGCTGCTGCGACGGAACAAACTCCCGAGGAAAAGATTAAAGAGCTGGCAGTCCGTGTACGCAATCTAATAATGTCAGAAAGGTAAGAAGTGGGCGAATGGAGGTTTAGAAGGGCGTGCTGCGTCAGGGCTCAAGCACTAAGCGGAGTGCTAGGTGTTCCACATCATTCTTCTTGGTGATAAATATGAATAAGGGCAGTGCAAATAGTGTTGTCATGGGCTAGTATCACGCTTACTCAAACTATGTGGGCGGAAAAGTTGTGAGGGAATATGGTGAAGCATCATGCCGGTACGGGATGATTCGCAAGGGCTACATGCCACAGGCTAGCTAACGTGTGTAATTTCAACAAGAATATATCAAAACACCCTACTTCCACGCATGTTCTGCCATAGAGCGATATGAGTGTTTGTACGTTGGCTTATGCCGTGCACGTCAGCAAAAGCTGGCCATCGGTATGAGAAGAGATATCGCGAGCCCCAATATCAGCTGGAGGGGGATTTGGCGAGGAAAATAGCAGCATTTTATTACTATATAATATGCATAATCGGAACTCACCTCAACAATAAGGCATTGTAGCCAAGTGGTTACGGCGCTGGCCTGCTAATTCTCAATGAGTTATCATATAGCCAGTCCCTTCGGGGGCGCAGGTTCGAATCCTGTCAATGTCGTTTTTTGGCCATTTTATCAACAAACCCCGGTCTTCGATGTCTTGTGGTGCGTTTGCAGCTAAATCTTTTTTTTTTTTTTGCCCTGCGTTCGACCTCAAATCTCAATGATTTTCATCCCTTTTGTTCTTTTCTGTCTACTTGATGTACGAGGATCCCGGGTACAGGGGATAAGGAAACGGAATGTCTAATTGCATTAGCCAGAGAGGAAAACGAACTATAGAGGCGCGTGTCGTACGGACCGCACCATTGCCCGTAGAATATGCTTTGATTTCACGAGACGTTTACCCTTCCCTCCTTCTTGAATGGAAATTGACAACCGACACCATGTTGGCGTACTAGCCTCAGGAAGAATTAGGCAGTATAATTGCCGAGTCAGTAGACTCCAGTATTATCAATGGTTTCGTCATGCTTGCGATTATCTTCATAAATCAAACACGGACACTCAAGAATACCACAGCCAAAGGTCTGACCGAGCCGGGTGTCATTACGCCGTACAACATTTTTCGTCTGCAACTTTTATAATTGGTGTGTTGATGAGTAGCTCTAATTCGACCTCTATCCAATGTCTAATTTCGTCTCTCATGCGCCTCGAATTTCATATGTTGACTGACTTGGCGCAAAAACCAACCACAGTCACAAGAATTAAATGAAATCACAGAATAGCAGTTTGAGTTGTCATTTCTCCTCGAATTATTCACCAGGATGAATAGCATCGACACCAAGTACTTTTAAAAAGGAATCATGTACATTTTCTCCAATTTTGGAGTTCATCTACATATAAAGGAGTTCATCTACATTTATATGAATATGTCCATATTCAAAATCAACTGCACATCCAGAGTGATCCTAGTGTTAAGATCAAGGCCCTTCACTTTCATCTAATTATTCCCTCGGCATAAGACAGCTTAAGCAGAGGCAGTAACGTAGACGGTGGTGGTGCGGGGCTTGCACACGGACGAAGTGGCAGAAACCAAAGCAGTGGTCTGAGGAGCAGCGGCGCTGGTGGCAGCAGCAACGGTAGACGAAGCAGCAACGGAGCTAACGGCGGCGGCGGACGAGGACGCAACAACAACAGCGGCAGCAGACGAGCTGGACGAGGCCACAACGACAGCAGACGAACTGGACGAGGCCGCGACGACAGCGCTGGAGGTCGCAACGCTGGAGGTTGCAGCAGCAGCAGACGAGACAGCGGCGGAGGTGGCGGCGGCGGCGGAGGTGGCGGCGGACGAGGCAGCAGCGGATGAAGATCCACTGGACGAAGACGAGCCGGAGAAGGTGGTGGTGATGTCGCCGCTCTCAATGTAGACTCCCGAGAAGTAGAGGTCCTCGGTGGTGTCGGAGACGCCCGTGACGGGCAGCTCGAGGACACCGACATGCCAGTCCTCGCCGTTGGAGCTAGCCGAAGCGGAGACGGGCGAGACGACGCTGGTCAGGTCGTCGCCGCCAGTCGAGTGCCAGAGGCCGACGGTGCCGCCAGAGAAGTCAATCTCGTAGGCAAAGTTGTGCCAGATGCCAGCCTCCATGGTGACGTTCCACTGCTCGGCCGAGTTGGCCATCCATCGCAGGGTGGTGTCGCCGGAGCCGGAGCCGCCGTCGGCGAGACCGTACTGGAGCTCGGTGAAGTGGGACTCGAAGAAGGCAATCTGGTGCTCGCGGGCGACCGAGGGGGCGTTGGTGTCTTCGCGCATGATGGAGAAGTGGTAGTAAAGGGTGCCAGAGTCAATGGCGCTCGTGTCGCTAGCCTGGGGAATGAGCTCGGTGCGGCGCATCGTCTGGCCCTCCCAGTACGAGGTCGAGGTCAGCGAGACCTTGGCACCGACGGTGCTCGAGCTGTCGTCGGGGTTGGCGTAGCTCGCGTCAAAAGCAAGGTAGTCGGATGTGTTGCCAGTGCCGTAAATGTACCACTGGTACTCGCCAACCTGGTTGGACCAGGACCAGTCCTCGAGGCTCGAGACGGTCACATCGTTGAAGCTGCCAGACCACTCGGTTGTGCCGGCAGCGGCCAGGCGCAGGAGGAGGGCGGCGAGAGCGGATTGCTTGAACATGCTGACGTTCTTTCTTGCTACTTCTATCGGTTTGGATCAAGGAATGGATGCTTCTGATTGAGATCCGTGTCAGGGCGATTGTCAGCTAACCAGAGCCACAAAGAAAACAAAAAAAAGGGAGTGAATGAGAATGAATGTAAAGGCACTGAAGCAGAAAAGAGTGTGTTGAGACCAGGGACGCAGCTTTCGGGACAAGGAGAGAAGAGAAGAAAGAAAGAAAGGGAAGGGCAACTGTGAAGATGCCCCCTTCGGACTGTCGACGACATTATGTATATCGCCGCCACAGTCTCATGGCCCCCTCTGCCCCCTTCATGCTCTTCCACCGCCAGACCTGGCTGGACCCTACCTCGTTTGCCTCGATGCCATACCACCTGGGATGCAGGCACATGTAATTGCAGGAGCAGCATCCCAAGTACTCTGCTATCATGACGACCCCCGGGCTTGGTCATCGCTTGATGCAAGCAGTCGCAGCCGCCTGTTAATGCACGACATGCACTGCGAACCTCGGAAGCGCGCGAGAAGAGGCCCTTGTACGGGCAAGAGAAACAAAAACGAGCAGCCCAGCCCAGCCCAGCCCAGACTCCAGGCCGTCGATGCCGTCAGGACTCGGGCGGAGTATCGTCCCAGCTTGATTGTTTGGCGGCCCCCCCTTAACGCTGAAGTGGGCCGCCGAAATTGGCACCAATCGGGATATTTCCAGCGTTTTATGCTTGGAAACCGTAACCCCTGGATACTGAAGCGGGCGCTGCGCTGTCGTTTCTTGTTTCGCTGCATAAGGCTGCCTTGTCGTTGTTGAAATTTACTGAAACCATGTTAAGGACTGGGAGTTATCGATGGTCGTTCTGCTTGCTTCAATGCGAGTGCTGCTTGGAGCATGTCAAGCTTGGACGCCAAGCACAGTTGACTGGGTTGTCCAGGTCAACGGAGCGTTCTGCTGATTCTGGATATGCATCCTTCAGGTCAGGCAAAACCCAGAGCAAGGCAAGGTTGTGCCTGAAGCCCAGGATCACGGAAATGAAGCAGGCTCGGCAGGGACAGCAAGCGACGTTTCGAAACACCTGAGCCGGGCCGCCCTCCACGCTGCGAAGTACTCCATCAGTCCATCAATGAATGATCCTTTTCCTGGGAGACGAGTTTTGGCCAGCCAGCCAGCCCCAGCTACCGGCCCCTCATTCTTGGCAGTCTCCTCCTTGCCGTTGGCTCTAGTTCGCAAGGTTCGTCAATGCTCGGTCGAGCCGCCAGTCTCCGCACATTGATTAGGTCAAGTGTTAAAGACTCAAGCTGGTGTGCCGAGTGCGCCGAGCACTTTTGAGGGTGAGGCCTTGTAGTGGTTGTCAACGGTGCATCATTAAGCGCAACAGGGAGTCGCATAATATACTGGCGCCGCGCCGCATCGACTCTCACCAATCGCCAACTTGCATCGCCTCGCTTATACAATGCAGTGCCCTGAATCCCTCCCACTGCAACACTGTCGATGACCGCATCAGCAATTGGAAACAGCCTGAGCTCATAGTCCTACCACCAACTCAGACCTGTAGCCCGCACAACGCCCGCCAGATCGACCAATATCCATCTAAGTCTTGCTTCATGCTGTCGCAGGCAACGCCTCCAAGCCATTTTTCAGCCCAACAGACGTCTTCTGCACAACAAAACCGCGCTTCTCATCAGTTGTTGGTTCCACCTTGCCTACCTCATCAACAACCAATGCTCTAAACTTTCCACCCAATTCTTGCACCACAATACCTACGTCAGGTGCGTTGGGTAATTGTTTGCCCTCCTCGCCTATAATGGCGCTGATGTCCCAACTGCTTTTGCCGTCCTCAGATTTTGGCCGCCCATTCTCACCCTTGACATCTTTGCCGTAACGTACAGCTCCATTGACCGTGGCCGGTGTGATCAAAGTCTCGTCAAGCAGCGCATCCCAGCGCAGAATATACACACCTGGACCAGACATACTGGGCGCACATCTCGTCTGGGTGGTGGGAGGAGCCGTCTTGGTAGACCGTCCAACCCGGCTCTTCTCGGGCTTCTGCTCAACTTTGCCGTCACGACCTGCGAGTCCGTGCAAGATACACTGCATGCGAGAGGTGGAAAAGTCATCGAGGCGCGAGAGGTACGCAGAATGCTCGTCAAGTTTCTTTAGAACATCCTGTTGCACCTCCGCTGGTACTTGACTGTATAGGTCTTGCAACCTGTTATTCATTGCTCCAGCTCCGTCTGAGATGGTTGAGCCAGACGCCTGTTTGAACTCAGCCAAGGATGTCTTAGCCCAGCCCCGCATCAACTCAACGAGGTCGGGGCAGCCTTTGGCGAATGCGTGGCAGTAGGCGTACAGCAAGCCCTTGTTGCGCTGCAAAAGACTAGCAAAGTCCTCCACTGAGGGCGGCTGGACTTCCTCCCCCGGTGCCTTTGAACTATACATAGAGAACCATTGCTTCTTTTCGACCTTTGGCTTGGCCGTCTCAATGAAGTCCGCCATGAAGGTCTCGGCCGCAGTGACATGTTTGGACAAGTCTACTGAGGCATGAATGGATCTGATAAATGGTTCATAGGCGTTCACGAGCGCCCGAACTGCGGTGGTGAAGTGATCTGGGCTTGAATTGCACAAGACTTCGATGCCTTGCTCTCGGTCGCGCACAGAAAGCATTGCCGATAGCCATTCCATGCAGCGAGCATGCTGCGCTGCTGTAAGAGACGACGCAAGACTGGGGTCGCTGGCGTCCAGTATGACGGCTACTATGGACTTTTGAGTGGCTGTGCTGAGCTCACGCATGGCTCGCTGTGTCTCTATGGGCAGGGACAGATACTCCTTGAGCAGAGCGAGATGTTGTTGCGACGGTGCGTCCTTTGCTGATTCAATCTTGCTAGCCTGTTTCCGGAAATCGCCTGCATCCCAGTCCATCACCAACGAAAGGATTCTGTGAGAGTATCAGTCAATTGCCAATCATTCGAATA